GTCATGACCGTGAACTGCCATAGCCCTTGCCCTGTCGAAAACGCTGTTTTCTCTTTGTCGTCTGGGTGTACATCTACTTGCCAATAGCCACTCGTTAAATTGAGAGTTGAAAACCATTTGCCCAGGTTCCAGGAATTCGGCCAGAATAAACCCCTCTGCATCCCAGAAAACTGTGCCCATCACCTTCACAGCTGATGGCACTGTCTTTGCCTTCTTTTTTGATGGAGAATGCAAATGGTGCCATTCCATACTCTGCCGTTTCGTTTCAGACTCGAAATGGTGAAACCAGCTTTCGTCACCTGTCACAATACAGAGCAAAAAATCGCCTTCATGTTGATAGCTCTGCAACAGTTCTGAGGTGATGGCTTTTCACTGACCTTTGTGGTCTTCGGTCAATAACCGCGGGACCCAACAAGCACAAACTTTCCTATAGCCCAAGCTTTCAATCATCTCCTGTACTGCACTGTGCCCTATTCCAAGTTTTCAGGCTATTGTGTCCACAGTCACACACCTGTCATCTTGAATGATCTCATCCACTCTTTCCTTGTTGCGTGCAGTTGAGGCTGTTCGAGGACGACTGCTCCAAGGCTCATCTTCGATGCTGGTGTTCCCATCTTTAAAATATTAAACCAATCTTCAAACACTGCTCGCATCCATGCACACACTTCCATAAGCATGCTGAAGTCTCTGGTGAATTTCTGCAGAAGGGATTTCCTCTTTCACAAGAAATTTGATGAAAGCACGCTGGCAAAACGACATATGGTTGTCGGCCATTTTGTTAGGAGTGATACTGGTCCCGTGATGCAAGCTATTGACGTCACAAGACACTCAAGGTTTACACAACAGCTGGTTCCACCTACCACCATACTCTTTTGTTTGCTGTTCCCAGGTTGCATGCAAAAAAAAGTTGCTCATGACTTTCGGTACAATCTACATATTTAAACCCTTAGCCTGCAACCAAGGCAAACATTTTTCAGCACACTGAGGTATCATTCAACATTCATGGTTTCTCCAAAATACCATGAGAACACGTTACATCATAATTTTTTCACTATCAAGCAGTTATTCCTGCAAATGGTGATGATTTTTCATATCCCACAATCTGTAATTCTGTTTATTCACTCCACGAATCAAATAAACAAAAGCTTCATCTGTGAACCACATGTTATGCAATATTTCACAAATCTCTGTCAGTATTCCAGCCCGTGTAGGTTGATGATGTTGGTACTTCTGTCTGAAAAACTCTGGACAACCAGAACTTTGCTTGAATAAATGCAAATCCACTTCTAGCAATCAGTGGACTAATATCCTTGAAATTGGCAACTGGTGACCTACTTTCTGTACTTATTTCCTAGGGCTCATTATCACTGGAATATATGTAGGTAGGCTGAGAAGTAATGCACGCATGCTTGTAGAGCGCGAACGAAATGACCTTCAGAAGCGCGCCAGGTTGCATGTGGAAGTAACATTCCCCCTCAGTATGCATGCGCAGGTTTGAGGTCGTTGCGATCATCCAGTGTATTTCAAGAAGTGGAAGTATGGAGACGTGTTCTAGTGCTATGTCAACGCGAGTTAAACAGCGTGTTGTTATCGAATTTTTTACTGCTGAAAAAGTGACTCCTACTGAGATTCATCGTCGTTTAAAGGCTGTTTATGGTGACAATGCTGTTCACAGGTCTACTGTAAATTGATGGGTAATAAAATTTCATGGTTGCGAGCCTGAAAAAGCCATAATTGTTGATGAAACACGCAGCAGATGTCCGATCACTGCCACAGACGATAATCATCACAAACTCGTCGACGATTTGATTCAAAGTGACGGGCAAATCACTCAAAAGTATATCGCAAACCATATTGGAATATCCAAGGAACGTGTCAGCTTCATTATTGAACAATTGGGATACCGTAAAATCTGTGCATGATGGGTACCACGCCATCTCACAGACGAGAACAAACAGCGTCGATTGGAATGCTGCGAGCAACTTTTGCAGCACTACCGTGACGA